TGTAATATCTAACATACAAAAATATATTGAAAAGTAAGGCTTAACACACACACACACACATATAGAATATGTATGTAATGTATTTATTAAAACACACACACACACACACTCGAGTCTGCCCGACTACGAGATCCCCTGAACACACACACACACACACATTTCAATAATTATTCGCACATGCACATACACACACACACACACACACACACACACACACACACACACACACACACACACATACAGGCATACGCTCGCACGCATAAACACGCATTGGCTGCAGTGTGGGCTTACTATGAAAATTTAATTGTCGATCGGCTATCTTCGTTAAACTTACAGTTTACGATTATAACATAGATAAGCATTTGCTAAAGCACAAGTCTCTAGTATATTAAATAAACCTTTTACAAACTTATGGGTGAAGGGGTGAATATAGGGGTGGGGGGTAAGCTTTGACATATATCAAAATTCTATAAAGTACATATGAATCTACATTTAAAATTTGGTGACTCTGGCCTTAAAGATCTATCAGATATAAATTTAATAAGAAAATAACGGGGCAAGCTATCGAATTTTAAAGCATAACTCGTTATCCACGTGGTATACACGGACTTAGGAAAATAAATAAATAGCTCTTATATCTTCTGAGATCGACGTTATTAAACATACTGACAGACGGACGGACGGACAGACAGACAGACTGACAGGGCCAAATCAACTCAGCTCGTCGCCCTGATCAAGCATATATATACATTGTGGGGTCTGCCACGCCTCCTTCAGCCTGTTACATACATTTTAACAAAATCATTATACCCTGATTTCCCATTAAAAATGGGTATATAAAAATAAAAACTATAAAACTAGTTATTATGATAATATAACATATATTGTTCATATTTATATTTTTCTAAGTATTTTTATTTGTAGGTCACTAATATATATTTTGATTATACGTATGTTTGTTTTTTCCGGTATATTTGTATGTTTTTAAAGAACGGGTCTTTAGTAAAATTCTAATTTGTGCTCTGATGATGCTGATGTACTCACGCGCACTTAGCCACATGCACACCCCCATAAAGAGACGATTACTTCCGCCATTTTCTATGATGAATTGCTACTTTTGCTTAACGCACACACACACTTCTACAGAGAGAGAGACATACACACACATGCATAGAGCCATTAAGCAGCAGAGAGGAGATGCGCAGACATCCATTCAGAGACCGGGGACAAGGCAGTTAGCGACACAGACCCACATATACATGCAAGGCCAGATGAAGCGCTCTATCTGTGTATCCGTGTATCTGTGTATCTGTGTATCTGTGGATACACATTTATCCAGTCGTCGACGGCGTTGACAGCGCCAACGCCAGCGGAAAAAGGTGCAGGACGAGCCAAGAGCGCCGCACAGGCAATGTAAAGCAGGTGAACTCGAGGCAGCTTTGTTGTTGCTGCTGTTGCTGCTGCTGCTGTAGCTGGCAGCAATTGGTGGCAAAACACTGAAAGGACACAGGAAGTGCACTTTGCCAGCACACACACACACACTCGCACACATTCGCACACTTTTATATACAGAAGCAGGACACCCTTGCCGTCATTGGGGTGCTTTTGCCGTTTATTTATGCCTGGCAATCATAAAGCGCGCCCCAAAACTCACACACCCACACACACACTTACGCAGAGAGACAGTGAAGGGAGAGTGCAGGTTATGGCTTTCTATAACTCAGGTTCTGCTGTCGTGCCGCCTCTTTCTGGCCAACGGCCGCGTCGTCTGCTGCTGATGTATTCCATACAAATTGCAAGTTTTAGTGCTTTTATTTTTCGGCACTCTCCGGCAAAAGAATCATCCATCAATGGCATTACGGGCAAGGACGCCAGGACAGCAGCCAGCCAGCCAGCAGACGCGAATGCTTTTTGAGTGCTGCTGACGTTTTTGTGTCGCTGTCGCTGTCGCAGTGGCAATGGCAATCGCAGACGCAGACGCACCCATTGCTCAACAGGACACACAAGAGGATAACAACCCTCCTTTTACCCAGTTTTTTTCTTGTTTTCTGGTCGAAAGCATGCGGCGAAATTTGTAAATTTTTCGCTGCAAAACAAAAAGAAAGATTCTTTGGCCAACACAAAAGGGGGTAGACTTTAGTGCCTGCTATCTCCCTCTCTCCCTCTGTCTTTTGTCTCTGTCTCTCTTCTTCTCGCTATCTACAACAGGCTGATGCTCTCGCTCAGTGCTTGTGGCTGCGTTTGTAGAATAATAGCATAAAATATTGTTGTCCTTGAACAATTTACTTTTATTTTATTTTTATTGCCTACATTGTGGAGCGCTGCCGCTGCCGCTGCCTCTGCCTCTGCCTCTGCCTCTGCTTCTGCTTCTGAGTCCTCCTGCATATGTGTGCCGCATATGTGCGTGTGTCTGTGTGTGTGGGTGTTTGTGTTTGTTATGGTGTCTGCATTGTTGTTGCTGTTGAGCCGCGTTTTTGGCTTCATTAAATTTATGTTGCAACGAACCGTTGCGCACTCTCCCCGCCCCTCGCGCCCTGCCTGCTTGCCAATGTGCTGAGCCTAGTTGCACGTGCCGCGCTGCCGTAAACCAGATCGTAAAAGTTTATTACTTGCGGCTTTCTGTATGTTTGTATGTGTGTCGCGGGTACTGTTGTTATTCTCTTGTTGTTGCTGTTGTTGTTGTTGTCGCTGTAGCTGCTGCCGTCGCCATTGTTGCTGTCAGCTGTCAAATTGAATTTGTTTATATTGCCAACACCAGCTGAAGCGGCAGCAGCAGCAGCAACAGCAATGCCGTCGAGCCGGTCAGAGGCCACAGCCGCCATTCAGCTCCAACAGGTTTCATTTTCACTTGCCGGAAATCATTGCGTCATGCTGATATTTTGTATTTTAACGCCCCGACGACACCACGCCCTCTCCCTCACCCTCACCCTCAGCCGCAGCCGCAGCCTCGCCCGCTCTGGCTGTCATGCTCAGCTTTGTGTTTAGGCTGCAAAGTCGATTTTTGTTGGTTTAGGTCAGTTAGTTTTTGGCTTTGACAGCTCAAAGTCGAGGTCAACTTTTGTATGCCCATCATCAGTTGGCGTGCTGTCTGCCTCCCTCTCTCGCTCTGCTTGTATGTGTGTATGTACATGTGTCTGTCTGCGTGTCTCATATTTATGCGCCCGCCGGTCGAGACGCGTCCCAATGGCCAATGCGACGCGCCCTCGTCACTGGACGCTGATATAAAAATCGATTTTATTATAGCCGTTTGTCTGCCATCCTATATAGATTTCCTGTCATCTGCGATATTGCCTTTGTCTGACTGGGCGAGGCTCTGCCACTGACAGGCTTAAATTCGGCCCGTGTCTCCTGTTTAGGTAAGCCACTTTAAAGCCCGAAAGTGAAAGCGTTGCGTATACGTAATATGTGGAATACTTTAGAATGTGACAGATTTATTAGAAGTTGAAATTGAAGTAACTGCTCAATTTTAGAAGAATAAGATTAATTAAAAATATATTTAAAAAATATTTGCAAACCTAAAAACGGAAATTTAAAATCTAGAAATAAAGAAATTTTTTTTATAAATATTTATTGTAAAAATAATTAAATTTCAATACAATTTGATTCAATATTACAAATAATTGTTGAACAAATTTGTTTACCTATTTCTTTGTGAAATGTAAATAATGAATTATTAAATTAATAAAGTTAAACTCAATTTTTAATAGATACAATATGTTGAATGAAATTCTAAAAACAAAATGTTTCACTATCTATTCTATGTTTTCATTGAGCTGTTCATACTTTAGCAAAAATAGCATTTAATTATATTTAAATATTTGTATTCAAATAAGAATAAATGTTAAATATGTTGAGTCAGAATATTCTTGAAAATATTTTCATGCAATTATCGAATATTACTTTATGTTACAATATTAATTTAACTGAATTTTGTTTAATAATTTCCTCTATTATTAATTATTATACGTTATAAATTATTATTA